TGACTGGGCTTTCAAATATATTCATAACCTTACCCCTTCCCACCTTCCCAGCAGTCTTGTGCTTTATTTGCCACCATGTACTATACAGTTCAGTGATATTGGTCTTCTTCCTATTTCTCTTGCACACAACACTATATTTCCCAATTCTAAGCCTTTTCATGGGCTTTCTCCCATGTCTAGGATTCTCCCTCTACATCCTAGCTTCTTTGTCTTTCTTGAAATTTTAGTTAATGTCCCAGTCTTCACCAGCCTTTCTTAATCTTAGTGCATTCCCTCTGAGATTACTTCCAATTTAACCTGCATACATCTTGTTTGTCTATGGTTTCTTACATGTTGTATCTCCCATTGGACTGTGAGCTCCTTGGGAGCTGAGACTGTTTCGTTTATTTATTTTTGCCTTTTTATGTATCCTCAAAACTCAGCACATAGTAGGCACTTAGTAAATGTCATTTGACTAACTGAATGAACTGTCATCTAGGAGCTCACACTCTAATGAATAGGTAAGACCAGTCAGCTATTGATTAGAAAAGACTCATTATCTTCTTTGTGTTTGGTAGATCTCTTTTCCTTCATGCACAATTCAATTTATCAATTTGGAGTGAAGAGATACATTTAAACTTAAAACCATGTTGATGACAGCCTCATTTGAACTTCTGAGAGGATGTGGATAAGCGTGGGAAAGAATGGGCAGACAGAAATTGGTTGGAATCTGTACTGTTAGCACATCCACATCCAATAAATCATAAATCCATTTGAATAAATAGTTTTAAAATGTAGGCTTCTTTAACATATTTAAATATGAATAACCATGTTAAAGCTTCACATAAAATTTCTGAAATTCATATTTTGTACGGTTTTAGGAAGGCAGTAAGGAAAGCAAGATGTATAAATTTTACATGCATATATAAGAATAGCTCAATTTGAATTACTAAAGGGTATAAAGAAGGAGTTTTTATTAAGGAAAGGAAAAGTAATTCATGAAAGAAGGTCAAAAAAGTAAAGTTTTAAAAAGAGAAAGGGAAACCCAAAGCACTGTTAATGACACTTAAGATAAAAGGGAAACTTAAATAGTTCAAAGTATAGCATAGAGTCTTCCTTAGAGTTAGTATCTAAATATGATAAAGAACAAAATTTCCAAAGTGCCTACAAAGGTGGGGTGGGGGAGAGGGTCTCTTGTTGAAGACAAGGAGATGGCTCTATGAGACCAACGTGGCTAACTGGGAGGTATACTGTCTTCCTAGAGTCTGCCGAAATATATTGAACTCTCAATGGCTACTCATTCTTGCTGATTCATATGGGAGCACTTCCACATGACAGGTCCAAAAGAATACAGATTATACCTCCAATAACAGCAAACTTCTCTGTAGGAAGTTCAGTAGCTTTAGGTGAGAGCAAGTCACTTAGATTAGAAAAAATTTGGCTTCAACTCAGCTTACTTTCTGGTCTACTCTACATTTCTACCAGCTGCCTTGTCTAGTTGAGGATGACTCCACCTAGAGATCTGCTTCCTGATTAGTGAGTCCCTGCCCAGGGCTCCATATTGTCAGGAGCCCCTGTCTCACTGCTCATTTCACTTTCACTTCACTCTGCTCTGTTCCACCTCCACATCAGCGGCTTTGACCCAGTGTGTGTTCCCAATTCCTAATTCCCTTTTATGTTTGTCTTTGCCTATTGTAAGCTCCTTGAGAGTAGTGATATTTTTCTTGTTTTTGTATCCCCATCAGTTAGTACAGTGCCTAGCATATAATAAGTACTCAGTAAATGCTTTAGCAAACTGTCACCTATCTATGTCAAAATATTGAAAAACGATATAATTTGGCATTTTAATTGGAAAGAAACTTAGAGAGTGTCTTGTCTTACATCATCTCTTTATAGATCCCAAGTGTGGCAAGTGTTCTTCAAGGAATTGCAGAGACAAGAAGTACTTTAAAATTGGAGATGGGCAAATGTCTCACATTTCAAAATGCAAGGGAAATTCACAAAAATATAGACTAATGAACTTGGATTTAATACTTCGCCACATTCTACAATGGATGATTCGAAAATCTGTGAGTGCAAAGCAAAAGAAGTTGTGACCACAAAGGGTCAGCATGAATTCAACAAAGTTAAAAAAAAAATAAGTTATTCAGTCATGTCTGACTTCCCATGACCCCATTTTGAATTTTCTTGGCTAATATACTAAAATGGTTTGCCATTTTCCTCTCCAGCTCATTTCACAGATGAAGAACCTAAGGCAAAGAGAATTAAATGACTTTTCCAGGTTCATACAACTACTAAGTGTCTGAGGCCAGATTTGAACTCAGGAAGATGAGTCTTCCTAACTCTAGGCCAGGCACTTTATCCACCGCACCACCTATTTCCTATATTTATGTTTAATTAATCAAACACATACTGAAAGAGAGAGACATAGAAAGATAGCAATTCAGATTTTTTAAAATAAGGCTTTTAATTGATACCAGGTTTAATAAAACATATGCCCTATAATTAATTCAATCTTAGGCTGAATTAATAAAATAGAGTGTTCAAACAAGTAAGGTAGCAGTCACATTATACTCTGTATTGATCAGAATACATTTGATAGATTGTGGTCTGCTCTGGGCATCATATTTTTAAAAGGGCACTGAAAAAAATAATGTAAGCAGCATTCAATGACCTCCACCAACTTCAGTGGCTTCCTATTACCTCCAGCCTCAAATATTAAATTCCAGGTGTGGATTTTAAAGCCTTTCATAACTTGGACCATTGTTGCCTTTTTAGTCTTTTTCCACTGGCTGGTTGGCTGCTGGTTCTTTGTTCTCAAAGACGACCAGAATGACATCACTACGTTACAGTCAAGTTACAGCTTGGAATGCTCTACCACAGGTTGGGCACAAGTAGTCCATGTGAACATTTGAAGAGTATTATCTAAATTTGTGCATCTCCTGTTTCTTTTGAGCCACTTCAATTCTGTTTTGCTCATAGAGCACAACACCTTCTCTGATGTGAGCCCGCCATACTGGGCACTCCCAAGCCAGGGTCATTCATGTCATTCAATCAGTTCCAAAGTTCTTAAGAAAGAACTTGAGAGTGTCTTGTATTGCTTCTTCTGACCACCATGTGAGTGCTTGCCCTGGGTGAGTTTTCCATATAGTCTTTTTCTACTTAATTATCCTCTATATCCTTTAAGTTGAAGTGATACTGCCCTTCTTGCTATTCCTCACATGAGACACCCCATCTTCAGACTCTTTGCCTTTTCACTGACCATCCCCTTCCTCCCCCAAAGAATGCTCTCCTTTCTCTTTTCCACTTCAGCTTCTGTAACTTCCTTCAGATTCAGCTTACCTTCTGTAAATGGCCTTTGTCATCCTTCCTTCCCCTCCAACTCCCCACTGTTAATACCTTCCAAGATTACCGATTGTCAACGTATATAACTTGTTGGTAAATAGTTGCTTTGATGTCATCTTCCCTATTAACATGGGATTTCCTTAGGGAGAAGGAATATGACTTTCTATATATCCCCAGGACTTAGCACAGTCTCTGACACAGGATAAGAGCTTGTTTAACTGGGGGTGGAGTCTTGGAACCAACTAACGGGAGAAACTGTATAAAGAACCTGGGATGCTAGCCATTTGAAGAGAAGGCAGTGTTGGGAGCAGAATTGTTTTCAATCATTTAAAGGTAAGGGGGAGTAGACATTTTATGTTTTCTCTTCTGGTAAAAGAAGTAGAACTAATAGGCAGAAGTTACAGGGAGGAAAATTTGGACATAATGAAAAGAGTGCTGCCTAGGAATTTAAATTAGAACAAAAAAAAATCAGCCTGCTTTATGAAATAATAGGCTTTTTGTTTTTGGAATTGTTTAAGGGGAGGCTAAGATGACCACATATTCAGAATATTATATCAGGGATTCATTTCTCAGGCATTTCCTCACCTTGCTGTCATCATCTCTCTCATCACTCCCAACTTTAGGCTCTGCCCCTGGGTCATCCATCTCTAATAGGACAGCATTGATCTTATCTGGCTAGGATCCAAGACATTTCCTGGCCACCTCCAAACCATGCTACCCAAATGTGCCTCTTCTCTCTTTCAAGTTCCTCTTGGGCACAGAACAAGTTTTACTTGCTTGCATTTTGTATCTTCAGTGCTTATCATAGAACCAGGCAAACAGTAAGTGTTTAATAACTGCTTTTCAGTTGTTAATATCAATGGACTGATTGATATCAATCAGTCTAAGGTCACTTTCTAAACTCAAAGTTTCTATGATTCTCTCATCATTTGAGATGGTTAAGTTAAATCTTTAGGCAGAGTAGGCAATTACCTATAATATATATTTTGAAGTCTAAGTTTTCTTTCCATGGATAGTATTGTCAAGTGTATTTCCTACCTGGCTTGAAATTCTTGATATTACAATCAATCTTTGAGCTAGATAATACAGATGTCTCTAAAAAACCACAGTCTAAATGCAGGTATTACTTGAGAAAGCAGTTTTTCTACATTACCTTAAAATACTTTTACCACTAATATTTTTAGTGTTACCTGACATTCTTGCCTATTACAAAAAAAAATAAGTGGGGATGCTTCATGCCGTTAGCTAAAATCCTGCCAAAGGAAATTGTTTTTTAGGGAAAAAAAATGTAGCAAACACTAAGAACATACAAAATATGGATATTACACATGTAGACAAAGTCATAGATGTACATGAAAACAAAGTTACTTCAAGGTGAATTACAGGAAGAAAAAGACAAACATTTTTTTCATGAGTCTGCTGATCTTTGTTGAAATATTTTATTATTATTATAATCCACAGTTAAATTAAAATTGAAAAAATAACTGCTCCAAATTCTCTTGTGTCTCTTTCATAATCTGCCAGTTCTTAATGCCTCAGATACCATGTAAACAGACTGTCATGAGCTGTGCTAATTTTAAAAGCTGTTATTTTGAGGATGGATTTGTTTTGTTTGAAATACATATGTTTGTTTTGCAGGTCATGGGCAATAATGAAAAGAAGGTACATGGAACACATTATTTATAAAGAAAACATCCATCAGGGGCTCTCACCTGCCAATTGAGAATTATATTCCAGATCAGACCAAGAGTCAGTTTATGATTTCCATCTACTATGTCTGTGCTTCCAATATTCACTAAATCAACCTGTTTGGATAAAGAAAAGAAGATGTATGAAGATACATAAGGGAACAAAAGCCTACTGTGAAAAGGAACAAGATAATACAGTAATTAAATTTAGATGTTTCCAGAGACTAAGCAGCATAATGATCAGTTGCTTAGCTAACCATAAAATATTTTTAAACTCATATTAAAATGAAACAACATCAATTTCTAAAATAACTTTTCCTGAGAAGTATCCAGAATATATTTAGGATGAAACAGTAAATATATATGTGTTTTCAAAACAGACTTCAGAGGGTGATCATATCTTTCACTAAACCTGTAATCACATTGACAACAAAGTATAAGGAATATGTGAAGTTGATAATATACAGGAAACTCAGAGGAAATTTTACTGACTGCCATCTATCCACCCTTTTGGAAACTTTTGCAGATCATCTAGAGCTACTGAATAGAGACTGATAATCCTGACAAAGCCAAGATCAACAGGGGACTAATTTATAGAGCTATATACATCAATCCATATTACGTATATGTAGTTTCACTTGGTTCTCTCTCTTTGCTGAAAAATAGCCTAACTAGGTTCAAAAAGGTTTGTCACAAGGTTTGGCCATTAGTTGACTGCAAAACTGGAAGAATGCCATGAATGCTAAGATATAAAAATATCCTTTATTAACATCAAAATATCAACATAGTCTCATCAGCACGTTTCCATTGTTATTCCCCAAGTGCAATGTAACTTTTTGAGAGTGAAGACTCTTTTTTTCCCTTAATTCCAGTGTATTTATAGGTGCTATGTTTTAGTGGAAAAAGTGATGGGGCAGTATCAGTAAAAGATGAATTCAAATACTGCAAATTACTTAACCTCTCAGTGCCCCCCAGGTGTTATGGTAGAAGGGGTATCCTCGTTGTCAGTTTCTTATACCAGTGAAATCACAGGTCCAGGCAATATCAAAAGCAAAAAAAAATCCCTTTTGTTGAGGAATTATTTGCCTTCACACAGTATTCACTCAACTCACTATATTTATCAAACTGAAAGTCATCCTCCATGAGACTAATAAGGTTTTGAGAAGCAAATGAAATCATGCATGTAAATGTACATCATAAAATAAAATTGCTAGCTTCATTTTTTTCAGGTATTTATGAAAAGATTGCTTAAGATTAGTTTCATGAAAAGACACAGTTTTTTCAACCGATGACTCTGTACCTTTGATTTTAAAAAAATGATATTCATATCTCCAAAGCATATCTTGTTCTCTGTCTTTTTTTTTAAAAATTTTACTGTAATAGTTCCTTTAGAAAATGAAAACAAAGTTTGGTGACTTACTTTAGAATAAAAAAAAATGTGTGGAAGTAAATCCATTTTCCATGTTTTACTTTCAGTCACATTGGTAAACACAATTAAGCCTAAACAAGAACACTTTGTTGGACTCTGGATAAACAAATACAAATAGATTTTTAAAAATCAAGTTGATCTTTTAACTTCACGTATGAGGAAGGGGATTGATCAGGTGAGCCCCTGTTCAATTGAGTTCCACAATCAGGTTGATGAGATTAACAAGGAATGCACTTAGGTCTAAAGGCTACTTGTCATTAAGGCGCAAAAGCTCTTAAATTCTTTACTGAGAAGACACCAGTAACTTGGCTGATTGTTTCCCAGAGACTGGGGGTTTACCTCCAAGGTGATTGATGATGGAGAGTTAGAAGGTTCAGACTTAAGAGATAAGAGCTGCCTTTACTGTTGTGATACATAAAGATGATCTTAGAGCTCAGCCTATTCAATTTTTGTTCCTTGTTCTTTCAGACAAAAGCATAGCAAGTGTGTGGGACGAAGAGAAGAAGACAGTTTTTCTCCTTTTTCCCACTCAGGAGCAAAATGTGGCAACTGACAGAAGCACATGGCAATTAGACTATGCTTGCCCAGATGGCCCAAGAGGTTGAGATATTGCCTCTAGTATCACAGATACTAATGTCAGAAGTACAGATTTTCATGATTCCAATCCTGGCCTCAGTTTCCATGAAACTCTGCTGCCTGTCATCATTCATTATACTTTTGAAAAAAAAAACATGAAGAGAACCCAAGGAAAATTCACAATACAGAAGATAAAACCCCTGTGGCAAATGTGAGAATATAGAGGAAAGTTTTACAAGAACATTCAAGAATGGGTGGATTATAATTCACTTCATTGGAGGGAATACTCAGAGATCTATTAAAATATTGGAATATATTTTAAAAAAGCATGAAATCACACCTACTCAGTTGACTCTAATAATAATATCGGTCTGGTTACAACAGCCTGTACAACTTTCTTAGAGAAAAATGGTGGTGAATGTCTGTCTGATCATTTTGTCACCTGAATTAGTGGGTATGAAATTTTTCTGCAACTTTTAGTAAACTATGACACCTTACCACACCTTAGATGCTGCTAGCTATAGTGGACAGCATCCCATTTATTGTAAAGTAAAAGGTTGTTTTATCACTAGAACTGAGGGTGAATTCATCCCTTTCTTTTTCTCTGCCCCCTACTGCCCTCTCCTCACTAATCCTTCCTTGCTTTAGTCAGCGTTGAAGTATAAAAGTACAAACAGTGGGGAAGAGCTGAACTCTCAGCCATTCCTTTATTCTATTTGGGGGGAAAAAATCTTTGGAAAATGTTGCAAGAGGTAAAAGCTATCCCAGATTGCCAGCAACCAGCAGTAACTTTTTATTTCTGTTTACCCCTTCCACCTTTATACACATTCTCTGTAACACACAAAGCAGGCTCAAAACATGAACCTTTACAATGTATAAAAAAAACAAATCAGGAAACATGAAGGCTGAAAGAAGAGAGTGTCAAAGTGCATGTGGCCAAAAGCTTACAGAAAGCAAATAACAATTGTGCCAATTGGAATCCTTCTCCCCTAATTCCAACCCATGAACCCCCTGCCTTTCTTCTATAATGTTCAGGCCATTTCTCTTCACTGGCTTGTTCACTGTCTTTTTTAGAGAGTGAGAGAGAGGTTAGGAAGGTGAGAGAAAAGTGTTTGGCAGCAGCTCCTGCAGATGAAGCTTCCTACATAGGAAACCTGAATGTTCTGACAACATCTAAATCCTTTCATTGTAAATAAAATGATCTTTTTTCAATTCACATTAAAAACTGAAGCATGATAATTTAAGAATGAGATTGAATTTGGATTATGATGGCTCTGGGAACAGGATTTTAGGTTTAGAGAATAAGCATCAAAATTTAGCTTTTGTTTGTGTTGCTTTTTTTTGCTTATAAAATAACAGACACAGTACACTTGTCACTAAAAATGGTAATATAATACTCTATCAAACAGAAACAACATTTTAAGTGAATATATTACAGTTCTGTATTATGGAGACACAACAGAGAATAAAGATGGGATTCATTGGGAGGTTAAGAAAAAAATGGGGAGAAGTCCCTTAAACCTTGGGGGTCAGAGGTCCCACTTATTTAATGATATTACTCTCTTTTAAAAATAGTTCTTTTAACTTAAAATGATTAAAAATACTTAAAATTTCATATAAAAAGTGATTTGATACTAATGGTCTGAAAATCTTTTATTCATATTTTCAGTTTATAAAAATGTTAACTTCCTATTCTTAAACAAGTGATATATGTTTTTCTCTACAAAAAATACTCATAATTATTCATTTCAGTCTTATTATTCTATTCAGCCCTTGTTTTGCCACTAACTAATGATGGGATCTTTAGGAAATCTTTTGCTTATTCCAGGATTCATCGCTAAAATATAGGGTTTGAACTAAATATTTTCTAATATCCCTTCCAAACCAAAAACTCCATGAGATTCTAATTTTAAAATAAGAACAAAAACTTTCTTTCATAGGACATCTGTCATAATGTGGTCAGGCTAAAGAGGCTATGTGCTACATATGAAAGGAACTTCTCAAGAACATGTATAAATTTTTAAAATATATTGAGTGCAGCATATCAAAAATGCAGGAATGGCAAAGGATCTTTGCTGTCCTCCAGATGTATTTTTACATTGAGAGTTGAGTTGGTTACATTTACACTATTTAAAATTTTAAGCCTTTAGGAAATGAATCGTGTCTATTTTTCATTCAGAATTGAATATGCTCAAACTATTATTATTTCATGCTGTACAGAACTATACTGACAACCCACAGAGTGTATCTACATAGGTCACTTTTTTTTTTGCCTTGGATTTACATTATAGATTCTTTGATAGCTACTGCTGTAACTTTTTGAGGTTTATTTTTAATACTGCATGACTACAGAAGTTGAAATTTTAGAATGTTCTTTGTAAAAAAAATTCCATTTTGCTATAAAAATGATTGTTCTAGATACTATCCATTTCAAGAGGTTAATTTGTAGCTATTTGAGATAAGGTATGTGTATAGACAGTGACACATCCTAGGAGAATATAAAAGAAGAATTATAAAGAGACATCATGGTGATGTGGGGAAAAAAATACGTATTAGAGACACCTGGTTTTACTTTCATTTATTCTACAGCTAAATATATGACATTGAGCAAGTCACAATGTTATTGGGCTATAATTTCCTTTTCTGTAAAATAGAGGAATTGAATCATGTGATTTTAGAACTCTAATACCTTATTATATATATATATATATATATATATATATATGCACATACATACATACATATATATACATATACACACACACACATTACACACAAATACATAAATGTGAAATGGATATTTCGAAGATTTAACAAGCATTCATTATGCCCTATGTGATAAACATCGTGCTTAGCAATTTTCAAATATTATCTCATTTTATTTTCACAACAATGCTGGGAGTGGTATTGTTACCCCTGTTTTTACAGATGAGGAAACTGAGGTAAACAGGGGTTAAGTGACTTGCCCAGAGTCGCACAGATTAAGTGTCTGGCTCACATTTGAACTCAGATTTTCTTGATGACTAGTCCAGGGCTCTAATCACAATGCAATCTGGCTTCTTCTATTATCTATATTTATTAAGTATAAAATCATTTTTATTCACTTATCAAT